TGGAAAGAGTTACAGTCTTGGTAACTACAGGGGCAGCTCTACTCCATCCTATCGACTCTCTAGGAGTCAGAATGGACTCGATGGTAGAGCGTCCTAAGCTGAGGAAATGCATGCCTGTTGGTAGAAGTCACCCATTTGTCACATTGCTGCGATTGCAGCACCAACCAACTGCGGCACCACTCATCAGGGGGCTTCCAAAAGTTCATGGGAAAGTTCCTTTACCTTCTAACTCCATTTCCACGCAAAGTTTTGTTAGGTAGCTAGCATAGGGACTGGGGCGTCCATTGCACATGCTCAGAGAGTCGAGCTTCCAGCTAGGAAGGGGTGGTGCACCTAGATGGGCGTTACACCTGGTTTGGCCCAGGTGAATTCAATTCAGCCAAGGGAGTCGGCCAGGATCGTTGACCACGCCTCCCGGCGGAGGACCTGAAAAGCCAGAAGCCAGAGCCTTGCAGCCCTTCTACTTCTCAAGCTGCACCTCGGGTGCTGCGCAGCCATCTCCTCTGGCCTCAGGACTCCACGTGGGGGTGAAGTACCCTGAGGTGCCTGTGTAAACCCGAAACTTCTTTGGCCTTTCATAAAACTCACTTGGCTCACGAACCAGGCTTCAGTGTGAATTCTTTCTCCAGCGAAGCCAAGGACCGAGGTAGATCTCTCCCAAGTGAGAGATCTAACAGCTTTGGAAGCCCCCTCGTAAACTCTTAACATGATCGAACACCCAGTTGAGTGTCAAATCTCCCAGCTATTTCAAAGCTGAGTTTTTTCACAGTTAGGTTGTACTAAACAAGTTATCATTATTAGTTTTAAGTAAACAAGCAAACAAATCAAAGCAGCTCCCAGTGATGAGAAGGCACGTTTCTCACATCCAAATGAGCGCGGTGAAGAAAATGAGCTTTGCCTTTAGATGCTTTTTCCAGGCCTCCTCGAAACTCCTACCTGTATTACTTTCAAAAACGGTACGCAACTTTCCGGAACCATCTTCTAGGTCAGTGTTTCCCAAAGGGAGTGCTATTCCCCCCCCCCCCCCATGAGAGCTTAAATTCTGAGCACACTGGTTTGCAAAAGGATTTGGACGGGCAGCAACAGCCCTAAATCCATTTGCAGAGTCCCCACAGAGAAGAAGCCTCCATGGAATGCATTCTGATTTTTAACCCAGGATGTATGTAGATGGCCTTATCCTCAGACAGAATGCCTTGGAGAGTGGATTGTGCCTCGCCCAGGAAGGTGTCGTCTCTCTCTTGGGGGCTTGCCTTGGTGTGTCCTTGATAGAGGTCACCATGATGGGCTGGTACATGGAGTTGAGTCAGGCCCTATCATTTTCCCTGACTGCCTTGGTTAGGGGGCCCTGGACCCATCTTGTGAGTCCTTCTAACGATGTATGTGTCCCAGTCTTGGCCCTCTCCAGCTTCTGTAGTCCCACCGGTAACTGTAACGTATTGATCTGCCAACAATCATGCTTTTGTGACACTTTCCTTTGCCCCCCCCCCTGCCCTTTATAAACTTGGTGTCTCAACGAACCTTCAGACACCATTTCAGCCTCATGTTGGTGGTCTCCCTCATCCGCGTTATGTGTCTGTGTCTTTGTGTTGTCTTCGTCTCTTTTACGAGTTAGTCAATGTTTTCTTTAAATTATGTTTGAAATGGGGTCCCTTGTACCCTAAAACATGGGTCAGGTCCCTGTACTTTATCCTCGATGATGGCAGGGAGGCGATGAGTTCGAAAAAGAAAAGAAAAGGGGTCAGTAGGCCAGGTCCGTTTGGGAAGGCATGCTGTAGGCAAAAGAGACCCACATGAAAGCCATGCTCAAGGCCTCACTCACCTGCCACTCCAGGGGTCAGTGGGTGGGAGGATGGGTGTTACACACAAGACAAGAAGTAAAGGGTGGGCGCTCCAGGCCGGTGGATGTAAACTCACGATGTAGGAATGTACTTTCAAGATGTGTTCTAATAAGGTTTCGGAAGTCGCCTGGTAAAGGCAGTCTGAAGGGCAAATCCAATTACCTTGGAGCCCGTCTCCTTTTAAGGGCTCTGCTGCACACTTCCAGGTCGAGGGTGCCTTTCTCTAAGCCCCTTTGAATCCTGCTTGGGCTCTGCCTCCCGGCTAGTTTTCCACTCTCCACGTAAGGCTCAGAGGGCCAGAGATGCCGGGCTCTTCACAATGGGCCACCATTCAGTCAGATTCCCCTTTGTCCCTGGGACATTCATTCCCCGGGCTCCTGCTGGGCCTGTTATATTCAGATATGAACTTTCCAGGAATCTGATCATGTCACAGGCCTTTTCCTGTATGACAAGTTCACTGCTAATCATGAATGGCGGGCTCCACACAGAGGGCTAGTATTATTCACGAAGCGTCTGCTTCCACATCCATAAATAGGGCAAAAGTGGCCGAAAATAGGCAGGCAGCATCTGTCGGGGCCCTTTGGCCAATTACCAAGGCCTCTGGCTGCAAACGGCTCCGGGAGTGCCCAGCTCTGGTCAGGCAACTGAGTGAAAGGGCCACATGCTGCCCGGGTCAAGGCTGCTGAGGCAGGCTGGGCCTGGTGGGAGCCCTGGTGCCCACGAGGTGGTTGACAGGTCTTCCACTGCACCAATGCCAGACACCAGACACACGTCCCGCAGGCCAGGGCCTCTCATCTTCTGCCAGCCTCCCTCTCCAGACCAGCGCTAGGGCAATGTTAGAAGCCTTAAGAGGATAGCCTCAAGTGCCTCGGGGCCTGGCAGTAATCTTTCACTGCCCTTACTTGGAGTGGCAGGGCCCTCCAACATGACAGATTGGAGGGCTTTGTGCTGTTCCGATATAACACTTCCTTCTGGGGCTGAGGGCCAATGGTCACAGATATCAACATCCAGATTCTAGTGGATGGATGCAAGCTGAAGAGGATTATCTTTCCAAATCAAGGTGCCCGGATGGAAACCCCCTCTTCCCTGAAAGAATGGCATGGGTTGGCACTGAAAGACCGTCTTTGTGTCTAACAACTGGACCGAGGAAAATTTGCCTGCCTCTCCCTGCTTCCCTTTCTTCTCGACATAGCTTGGGCCACATGAGAGATCCCTCATTTGGAAATGTTGACTCAGGAGACGAGCAAAGGCCCATCCCTTGGTCTCCAACAGAGTGGCGGTAACGCTGGTGAGGCGAGGCCGTGTGGGAGGCACTGGGAAGCGGAGGTCTAGCTGTCAGGCAGTGGCCCAATTTGAGAGTTTAAATTCTCAAAGGTGCACAGCAGCACTGTCTCCTGGAGGCATCGGAACTCAGGTCCCACATGACTCCACGCACCCCTCTAATACACAAAGTTCCTGAACTGAGGAGTGAGAAGGGGGCAGGAGAAGGACGTGTGGGTTATTTCACAAGGAAAACATGAAGCCAGGCTGAGCAATGGCTCTTTCCCTCAAGCTCTGTATGTTAGGTACTGTTAAGTTGGTGCTGACTCAGCGCCCCTGTGCACAACAGAGCGAGACATCACCTGGTCCTCCGCCGTCCGTCCTCACAATCGCGGATACGCTGGAGTCATGGCTGCAGCACCGGTGTCGATCGGCCTCTGTGAGAGGCTTCGTCTTTTATAGGGAACTTCCACTTTACCAAATGCGATGCCCTTTTCTGAAGTACCTGAGATGCGGCCTCCCCAGCCTGGCTTCTAAGGAGCATTCTGGTTGCACCTCTTCCAATCAGACTTGTTTGTTCCTTTGGACGTCCATAGTACTTTCAATATCCTTCGCTAAGACCATCATTCAAATGCATTGATTCTTCTCTGGTCTTGTTTATCCAGCGTCTAACTTCCACATGCATAAAGAAGCAAATGAAAATACCATGGTTTGGGTCAGGCACACCTTCGTCCTCAAAAGCAACCTCCTTACTTTTCCACACTCTACAGAGGTCACGTGCCGTTCTTTAGCTCTGAGAAACCTCGCTCCTTTGGCACACTTAAAAATGCCAATTCCGACTCACAGGACTGGGTAGAGTTGCCCCTGCGGGTTTCCCAGATCGTAACTCTTGACATTAAATCCCTTCCAACACTGTGTTTTGTTGTAGTGTTTGTACTTCAAACTCTCTGCGAAACCATCCTACCTTCTTTTAAAGAACCTTTCTATGCTTGAGGGCAGAGCATCTGTTGGCCTTTGCTGCTTGCACACAGTAAACATTGAACCCAGGGCTCAGTGAATGAAACGGACCACAGGTTTTCTAGTGAAAGACTCAAGCAGCTGGGTTTCCCGTAGAACTGAGGTGCGGCCGACGAGTTATTGTCCTAAGCACATTCTACGCCTTCATGCGTGAACACGTAGGGAAAAGAAGGCACTCCCAGATCACAACAACGGCAGTCAGCGCCATAACTTAGTCTAGAAAACCCACTGCCACTCACAGCGACCCTCTTCATTCCAAAAGGTACCTGGTACATTTTGTCGTTTCCTCTGAAAGAACCAACCAAACCAAATTCACTGCCACTGAGTCAAGCAACCCTGTAACTCGCTCACTGTCATCGAGCCAATGCTGACTCGCAGTGACCCCTGTGAGCTTCCGAGACTGTAACTGTTTACGGGAGTAGAAAGCCCAGTCTTGCTCTTACAGACCTGGTGGTGGTTTTGAACTGCTGACCTTTCTGTTAGCAGCCCCACAAGTAACACAAGTAACGGCCACGTGGATCACAGCCCCACATAACCACTACGCCCCTAGGGCTCCATATAGGGCAGGGTTTTCTGAGACTGTAACTCTTTACAGGAGTAGAAAGCGCCTTCTTTCTCCCAAGAAGTGGCTGGTGGTTTTGAACTGCTGACCTTTCTGTTAGCAGCCCCACAAGTAACCCATATGCCACCAGGATGATAGGAAATTTGGGTAAGAATCTGGTTCAGAGTATAAGGCTCTGGGGAAACTGGACGTTGCCATTTCTGAAAGGCCTGTGCAGGACAAGCAACGGCTTCTCCCGTCACCTGCTCTCTGGCCACTGCCTGCGGTGGGCTTCCCCTCGGAGCTCTGCAAGCTTGTTGGGGCTTGTATCACGGGGGTCTTACTCTGGCAAGCAGGAATCTCACAGTACTTCCAGTAGACCCCGTCCTCATGCTCAGCCACGTAGCACCAGGGGCTCACATCTCCATCCGGGTTTCTGTTGGAGAAAAGAACACAACCAGTAACGCTTCCAACATTTTAGGGCAATGGGCCACTGCTGTCCAGCTTCACGGAGAGGGATGTTTCTGAGTCTGGATAACTGCTCAATGCCACCACTTCCCAGGAAGGGAAAGAGAATGGCCTGACTAAAGGACACACTGGGGGACTCTGACCAGACTCCAGAGTGTGGGAAGGAAGTGAGCAACGGCCAGCCAGGCTTCCAAAGCGTCACCACACTGTGACTAGGATGGCTGGCCACTCCGCAAATGGTGCTGTGTCAGCACGGAACACCACCCCCCAAGAACATAGGTGTTCCCACACACAGTTGATGGAAGGAGAACTCACATGCTCAGCTGGCTAGCATGTGGAGTCAAGGGCCCTAAAAATGTGCAAACCCTTTGCCAAGCAATTTCCTCTCTACGGGTATGGTAGTTATATTATCTGGTGTCAACTTGTGGAGGGGTGGAGTCTAGCCTGTCAATCAGGTCGCAGCTTGATGACCTCATTTGGAGGTGCTAAGGAAATAAATAGCTTGCTGGAGGCTGGACACTCACACACCCCCTCCAAGACACTCCTGTGGACAAGCCACATGGAGACCCGCTGATGGCAGCCAGGGCCTTGGGGCTGGAGGAGCCACATGGAGACCCACACCAGCGCTGAAATGCTTTTACCACCACTGGATTCACAAGACTTTCTACCCACTGGGCTGTGAGCTTCCTGCGTCAGCATCATTGCATGTGTTGCATGAGTCTAAAGAGGAATTTATGGACTAGTATTGACATATGGGGTAATATTGGACTTATGGACTTGATCTGGACCGGGCTAGGATGTTTTCTCAATATACAATTGCTCTTTTATATGAAACTCTCTCTTATATACATATGAGTGTCTAGAAATTTGTTTCTCTAGTCTACACAGACTAACACAAGGGGTTTATTCTTAAGGAGGTCTTTACATAGGTATTCACCTAGGCATTTTGTAATGTTAAAAAAAAGTTGGGTTATAGCAGCAACGAAACACACACCTTCCCCTAGTTCTTTAGTGCTTCCTCCCCCGCCCACTCCCATGACCCCACTTTTATCTTACAAATCTGGCTAAACCAGAACATGTACATTGGTACAGATAAGAGCTCGCAACACAGGGAATCCAGAACATATAAACCCCTCAGGACCAATAAGGGGACCAGTGATACTAGGAGGGTAATGGGGGGCGGGTAGTAAGGGGGAACCAATCACAATGATCGATGTATGGCCCCCATCCCAGGGGAATGGACAGCAGAAAAGTGGATGAAATGAGACAGTGGTCAGTGTAAGACATGAAAAAAAACCCGAATAATTTATAAATTATCAAGAGGACATGGGGGTGGGAACGTGGGGGAGGAAGGGAGG